TGTATGAACAAACATTTTACTGTAGACCGTGTGGGTAAGTTATGGGTGAACAAACATTTTACTATAGACCGTGTGGGTAAGTTATGGGTGAACAAAAATTTTATTATAGACCGTGTGGTTAAGTTATGGATGAAGAAACGTTTACTATACACCGTGTGGGTAAGTTATGGAGGAAAAAACATTTTACTGAGGATAGGTTACGGCTGAACGAATATTTTTATTATAGACCGTGAGGATAGGTTACGGCTGAATGAACATTTTTACTATAGACCGTGTCGGTAAGTTACGGCTGAATGAACATTTTTACTACAGACCGTGTCGGTAAGTTACGGCTGAATGAACATTTTTACTATATACCGTGTCGGTAAGTTACGGCTGAATGAACATTTTTACTGTATACCGTGTCGGTAAGTTACGGCTGAATGAACATTTTTACTATATACCGTGTCGGTAAGGTACGGCTAAATAAACATTTTTACTATATACCGTATCGGTAGGTTACGGCTGAATGAACATTTTTATTATAGACTGTGTAGGTAAGTTACGGCTAAATGAACATTTTTACTATATACCGTGTGGGTATGTTACGGTTGAATGAACATTTTTTACTACAGACCGTTTGAGTAAGTTACGGCTGAATGAACATTTTTACTGCAGACCTTGTGAGTAAGTTACGGCTGAATGAACATTTTTACTATATACCGTGTTGGTAAGGTACGGCTGAATGAACATTTTTACTATATACCGTGTCGGTAAGTTACGGCTGAATGAACATTTTTACTATATACCGTGTGGGTAAGTTACGGCTGAATGAACATTTTTACTATAGACCTTGTGAGTAAGTTACGGCTGAATGAACATTTTTACTATAGACCTTGTGAGTAAGTTACGGCTGAATGAACATTTTTATTATAGACCGTGTGGGTAAGTTACGGCTGAACGAACATTTTTATTATAGATCGTGTGGGTAAGTTACGGCTGAATGAACATTTTTACTATAGACCGTGTGGGTAAGTTACGTCTGAATGAACATTTTTACTATATACCGTGTCGGTAAGTTACGGCTGAATGAACATTTTTACTGTATACCGTGTCGGTAAGTTACGGCTGAATGAACATTTTTACTATATACCGTGTCGGTAAGTTACGGCTAAATAAACATTTCGCACAAGTAGATTTATATGTATAGAATATAATTCAAGAGATCAAGAGTACCCAATCTTTACCATTAACTGAGTTCTTTAGTTCTAACATATGTGTATATAACATGGAATATTTCTTTATCACCTTTTTTTTCTATGTTCATAAATTTATTAGTAAATACTTTATTATAATAATGTGAATTCGTCAAGTAAACGGTTCAAAGTAATACTATGTTACATTCAAAACAAGCTGTTTGAATATATTATAGTTCATAGAATGGAATTCATTAAACGAGTTATTGGTAATAAGTATTATTAATGCAACTGTCAGAGCACAAGTCCCCTATGCACGAAACACTACATTAATTAACGTTCCCAGCATCCTTATCGGTGATTTTTGTTAAGTAATAGTGTGTATGTCTGAAATGAAAGGTGAGTCTATCTTTACGATAGTAATAATTAATTAATAAACGTAACTCAGATTTTTAATGATGGTGATGATGATGATAACTCACATTTAGGATGATGGTGACTATCATAAGGATAACTCACATTTATAATGATGATGATGAAGATAGGAATAACTCACATTTATAATGATGATGATGAAGATAGGGATAACTCACATTTAGAATGATGGTGATGATAAAAAGGATAGTTCATATTCAGGATGATAATGATAAGGATAAGGATAACTCACATTTATAATGATGACGATGAAGATAGGAATAACTCACATTTATAATGATGATGATGAAGATAGGGATAACTCACATTTATAATGATGATGATGAAGATAGGGATAACTCACATTTATAATGATGATGATAATAAGAAAAACTCGCATTTAGGATGATGGTGATCATAATAAGGATAGCTCAAATATATAATGATGATGATGATAATAAGGATAACTCACATTTAGGATGATGGTGATGATAATAAAGATAGCTCAAGTATATAATGATTATGATGGTAATATGAAAAACTCACATTTAGGATGATGTTGATGATAATAAGGATAACTCACATTTCGGATGATGGTGATGATAAGAAAAACTCGAATTTAGGATGATGATGATAATGATAAGGATAACTCACATTTAGAATGATGTTGGTGATAATAAGGATAGCTCATATTTAGGATGATGGTGATAATGATAAGGATAACTCACATTTATAATGATGATGATATTAAGAAAAACTCACATTTAGGATGATGATAATAAGGATAACTCACGTTTAGGATGATGATGACGATAATAAGGATAGCTCACATTTAGGATGATGATAATAAGGATAACTCACGTTTAGGATGATGATGAAGATAATAAGGATAAACAAGCTATATGGTAACGTTGAGTCAAAACATGAATGTAAATATTTTAATTCAACAGTACATTCCAACTTTTTTTTTTTAACTTAGGTGTTGTTCTTTTGTTGGGAAGCGAGGTAATGGACCCCAGGCCATCTCTATTGGAAAGAACTGTGACAAGTTCGGAATCATCGTGCATGAACTTGGTCACGTGGTCGGGTTCTGGCACGAGCACACCAGACCTGATCGAGATCAGCATGTTGTCATCATCACGGAAAATATTATGAACGGTGAGTCACAGGTTAGTCTTCCCACGTAACTTAATTCGGTTTGGTTTCAGGTTTCTCTGAAACCATGTTTTGTTTAATTACATTGCTAATCTTCATGATATCTGTCAGTAGGACGGCACTTGTTTCCTGAAACAAACATTACATACTCGCAACGATCCCGAGACACTTCACTAGTTGAAGAGATAAAAACATATATATATGCTTGTTTACTCAGTGACACAGATTAATACTTCTTTTCCTTGGCCTTCTTCTAATATCTTAATTTCAAATACGTCATCAGTTATTTTAACCAAATCTCCGTAAAGAAAAATCATGTGAAATAAAATGCAAACTCGTTCTTTAATTTACCAGTAAAATCTGGTATTAAATAAATTACCCCTAAATACAAACCCGGTGCGCGGTGGCAGCACTGTCGAACAAGAACATAATTTTCTTATTTCTTAAACTGTTGTATTGTCATCCTCTCGTTGAATCAGCCAGAGAACTTTTCAAATATATAAATGTCGAGAACAGAAATGAAATATAAAAAAAGTTTGTACAATGATTTTTGTGAACGCCTACGACGTTTGTTTTAATAGTGTAAACATTAAAACTCTCGAACCTTTCACCATTATCACGTAATGCAAAGTTCAGTTATAATAATTGTAACTTGATAATTTTTTTTAAGAGCAACTTACAACTTCAATGTATAATAATAAGCCTTACGACAATTGGTTACTTGTATGTATATTTCAAAGTAAAATACAGTCGCAGTAAAACAGAAAACAATGATATGACTCTGATACTTATAAATAGTCAACTAACTGATGTAAAATAAATTACCTCCGACTTTTCCAATCAATTGTTATAGCTTTATCTACGTCTAGCCGACAGCCTAACGGATTGGAACTGAGGTTTGTGACTTTAGGTAGAAGAAAGGCTAGTGGAAATATATCTAGTAATATATGTTTTGGCGTCACTCATAGATATTTTGGTGGAGCTGTATCTAATATATACCCTGACTTCACTGAATGATACTTTGGTGGAGCTGGTTCTAATAGATGCTTTAGCGTCACTGAAAAATACTTTGGTGGAGCTGAATCTGACAAATGTTTTGACGTCACTGAAGGACACTTTGGTAAAGCTGGCTCTAATAGATGCTTTGGCGTCACTGAAGAATGCTTTGGTGGAGCTGGCTCTAATAGATGTTGTGGTGTTACTGAAGTATACTTTGGTGGAGCTGTATCTAATAGATGTTTTGACGTCACTAAATGACACTTTGGTAAAGCTGGCTCTAATAGATGCTTTGGCATCACTGAAGGACACTTTGGTGGAGCTGAATCTAATAGATGCTTTGGCGTCACTGAAGGATACTTTGGTGGAGCAGAATCTAAAAGATGCTTTGGCGTCACTGAAGGATATTTTGGAGGAGCTGAATCTAATAAATGATTTGGCATCACTGAAGGATACATTGGTGGAGCTGAATCTAAAAAGATGATTTGGCAACATTTAACAAAATCTTAATCATAAAAATAATAAGCTACTTAAATAGTTTTAAACCAGTCGGTTTGTTGTGGTTTCTGCCTCTTTGGTGAAAGTCGTTAATCACTTCAGTAAAAAAAAACCAGACACATCAATGTCGTCTTCAATCTATCTAGTGAAATCCAACAACAGGCTAAACGTGTTAAACTACGATCAAAGAAGAACTACGCCTTTGTCCACAAACTTTCATCTCGACAAGAAAGATTGTCTTCTCAGGATAAGAAAGAATATGAGAACTAGGAAGTGCTGTATGGTAGTTCTGAGGAGAAAACTATGAAGTTAAAGGGACTGTGTTGTAGTTCTGAGGAGAAAAACTATGAAGTTAAAGGGACTGTGTTGTAGTTCTGAGGAGAAAACTATGAAGTTAAAAGGACTGTGTTGTAGTTCTGAGGAGAAAACTATGAAGTTAAAGGGACTGTGTTGTAGTTCTGAGGAGAAAACTATGAAGTTAAAAGGGACTGTGTTGTAGTTCTGAGGAGAAAACTATGAAGTTAAAGGGACTGTGTTGTAGTTCTGAGGAGAAAACTATAAAATTAAAGGGACTGTGTTGTAGTTCTGAGGAGAGAATTATGAAGTTAATGTGACTTCCACATTTCTTGTTGGTCGTCGAACATGAGGTTTATTGAGTGGCAGCTTCAGACTTCATTCACTCACTTGTTGGGGTGGACCATAGCAAACAGTTTCATTTTCTCTTCTTCGAAACCGTTTGTGCTCATTTTTACCACCAGTGTGGTTTTACATCCCTATCCTGAGCTCCGTCTTGGTGGTGGTGTTCTTCTCGTGGTTCCTGAGGCGAAGTTCTTGGGGCTTATCTTTGGTCATATGACTCTCATTTTTCATATTAAGCAGCTATGTGTCAAGTGTACAGGGGCAATGAACATCCTCCGTGTCCTCTTTTCTACCTCTTGAGGAGTGTATCAGTGTTCTATGTTGACGATCTATCGTACCCTCATATCTTTCAAGCTGGACTATGTGTCTCTGGTTTATAGTTCTGCCAGGCCCTTTGCCTTCAAGATGCTGGACTCTGGGGCTTCGGCTCTGCATAGGGGCTTTCTGCACTTCGCCAGTCCAGAGTCTGTACACGAGTCCCATGAGCCTCCTCTTCACCTCCGCCGTTTACAAATGTATTTGCAATATGCTATCAAGCTTCAATCCTTACCACAGCTTCCCACCTGTTGTTGTGTCTTCCTTTCTCAGTGGGCTACGCTCTTTCAGAATAGATGGTTTGCCATTCCTCCTTTTGGCCTTCGTATCCAGGCACAGCTTGCTGCATTGGGTCCATCATTGGATGACATTGCTAAGTCCAATTATCAGACCATCCCGCCATGGCTCATTATTATCCCCACCTGTGACCTTTGTTTGAGTCATCTGAGGGAGGCGGATACTCCCGATTTGAAGTATCATCTTCTCTTTGCTAAACATCTTACGAACCATTCTTCTGTTCCCGTTTTTACGGATGGTTCGAAGCCACGTGGCTCTGTGGGCTCTGCCATGGTTTGTTGAAGTTCGGTGGTTGTTCATAGGATCCCCTCTACAATTTTTGTACAAACTGTTCAATTCTTTGCCATTTATCTTGCCTTGGATCAAGTACAAACTAAGCACTACACTAACTGTGCTATTTACACCAATTCTCTTAGCTCTCTATTGGCCCTGGAATCCCTTAATGTAAGTTCTCACCCTATTCTCGTCAATATTCAGAAAAAAATCTTACCCATTTTTCATTGTATTCAGTTTTTCTGGATACCTGGCCATGTTGGTATTTACAGAAATGAGCTTGTTGACATAGAAGCTAAGTCCATCTTCTTTGACATAGTCACAGCCGTGTCTATCTCGTATATGGGCTATGGTCCTATGATAAGGACTCGGCTTCGCGCCATTTGACAGTCGATTTGGGATAGATAAATTTATAACAAATTTTTCCAGATCGAACGTACGGTTGTTCTTTGGCCATTTATTTTACATAAGGATAGAAGGGAAGAAATTGTCTTGTGTAGGCTACGCATTAGTCACAGTTTTGTTATTCATCGTTTTCTTTTATGTGGAATGATCAGCCAATGTGTGACACTCCAGTCACAATTGCTCACGTTTTACTTTCCTGTCGTCGTTACGAGTTTAAGCGGCGGCACCATTTTTGACATATGTTTTCTAAGGGTTTAACCCTGACTTTGGATGGTGTCATTGACGATGGCGACACTGTCCAATTTGATAGTGTTTTTAGTTTTTTACGGGCCATTGGCCTTTTTATGTGTTTTACCTGCTTTTGCGGCATTGTTTTATTTTTAACTTGTTTTCTTTCTACATTTTATTGTATTTTACATACTGTTTTGTTTTTTTTTGGTGCAGATAGCCTAGTTGCTTTGCGCCAATAAGCGCCAAATAACCAACCAATTAATTATATCTGGAGCTTCGTTTTTACTGACAAACCGACTCTGAGAGAATTTGTCCTTCAATCGTATCCGACCACTGTTTTCTGGTTGGAGGTCATGTACTGGGATAGCACTGATCCAATTTTTGCTGGATGAGACATAGATAGTTGATCAGATAACTTAGAATATGAAATGAGACTGAACGAATGATCGAGGTATTTTTATCTCCACTCTGGACGATCCTAAATACTCGATATAACCATGTAAGAACATAACTTCAGTGAGATTCAACGTCCTTCACGGACGGCATAATTGTAAATGAACTAAATTCATGTACTGCCTCAAGTAACTGAAAAAGAATTATTGGCTGAAACTGTCGAAACTCCATTGTCGTGTTAAGGGTATCCTTCACCTTTGACCGAGAGTTGAACACTCACCAAATCTCTAGGTTACATATGAGAAGGTAAATGGGCCAGTATTCTAATTGTGAATATTATTTCCTTTTAAAAATATAATCTGTATCGTTAAGGATTCTTTTTCCTATACCTAAATAATATGAAGTTATTGTTCTAAATTCCTACTAAGCATCTGTATACTCATCAGACATTTTTACATTTTACTTTAACAGTGGATAAAATCCTTTAATTATACGGGTAACTGAGTAAAGAAGTTGGAATGTTTTATTATTAATGTATAATACCTTTTACAGAATAAGGAACTATTTATGTTTTATTATTAATGTATAATACCTTTTACAGAATAAGTAACTATTTATGTTTTATTATTAATGTATAATACCTTTTACAGAATAAGGAACTATTTATGTTTTATTATTAATGTATAATACCTTTTACAGAATAAGGAAC